ACTTTCAACAAGACTCCGTGTAACCCACAGCCCTTCGCCTCAGGGTCATTTAAAGGGTTCTCGCCTCAGGGTCCTTTAATGTGTTCTATAAGGGTCCATGTACCCAAACAGTATATACTTTGGGCCCAAAGTACCGATATAGGGACTACTTTAAGGCCAAAATATGTACTATTTGGGTATATGGACCCTTCGAGTTCCCTAAACCTGAACCCCGGTTAACCCTGATCAACCCAAAATGCCTACACCCAAAAGTCTAACCCAAAACCCAAAAACGTTTTCTTAAATGCTGAGCCATCGTAAACCCTTAAGCCCTAGACCCTAGACATTAAAGGAACCGCACGTTTCTAAACTTCTTAAAGGGAAGGGAATCTTAAAGCAACCCTTCACGGAACTCTTAAAGTCTAACTCAGACAAGGAACCCTCAAAGGAATTCTCAAAGTAGCTCAGTCGATAGCTCTGAGGAAATAGACGCAGGCTCCGTTCTGGGCTCGAGATTCCCTTTACCAATGTTTAGGGTTCTCCAGGGTAAATCAGGGTATAGGGTTTTCCTATGGTGCAAGAGAGTGTCGGGCTTTTGGGCATAGTTTACTGTTTTCGTTGCGGGTTTTGCTGCAGGGATTATTTTTTTCTCAAGTTTGCATAATATGGTACCAGATGCAGCTTATATGGGGCGTATGTACGCTTTGCCCGTACTATCTATTATGGTGAGTCACTTTTGGTGCACAAAATTGGGCCATGGGTTTTTTTTTTTGAAGGTGCGGCCAACCCTTGTTTGCGAGGTGCGGCCAAGGGTCCCTGGTGCATGCGGTCCCCTAGTCCTCTGGTCCTGGGTCCTGTGGTACCCTGGTCCTCCGGTCTGCTGGTCCTCTGGTCCTGTGGTGTCCGTGCATGCGGTCCCCTAGTTTTCTGGTCCTTGGTCCTGTGGTCCCCTGGTCCTCTGGTCTGCTGGTCCTCTGGTCCCGTGGTCTCCTGGTGCCGTGGTCTCCTGGTCCTGCGGTCCGCCGGTCCCTCGGTCCCGCAAAAGCAACAAGAAAGCAAACAAGGAATAACAAAAATAAAGCAAAATTTCAGAAGTAAGAAAACCAGAAGAAAGATGATGAAGGAAAGAAAGCCAGGAAGAAAGCACAAAAGAAAGCAAGAAAGCAGAGGAGCTAGCAAGGAATGAAAGAGAAACAAGAACGGGAATCCGTTTTTGTTTGCGTCCTTTTTTTCGGTCCTCTTTTTTTGCCTCCACGTCCTGTTATTTACACAGGGAAGGAAGAAAGCAAGGAAACAAGGAAGGAGGAAGGAAGGAAGGAAGAAGGAAAGAAGAAGGGAGAGAAGGAAGGAAGGAAGGAAGGAAGAAAGCAAGAAAGCAAGGAGACAAGGAAGGAAGGATGGAAGGAAGGAAGGAAGGAAAGGAAGCAACTAAGCAAGGAAGAAGGATCGAAGGAAGAAAGGAAAGAAGCAAAGGAACGAAGGAAGGAAGGAAGGAAAGGAACGAAGGAAGGAAGGAAGGAAGCAAGGAAGGAAAGAAAGAAGGAAGAAAGGAAGGACGGTAGTACATCAGTATATAAAGTAAAAAACACATATATACATATATATATATATATGTATATACATAGTATACATAGTATACATAGTACATGTAGTATATATAGTATGTATACTAGATATAGTATGTACAGTATATACATATAACATGTGTATATATAATATATATTCATATAGTATATGCATATATATATGTAGTATATATATATGTAGTATATATGTATATATAGTATATAGAGTTTATATTGTATATTTTTATCTACAGTATATATAGTATATATAATGTATAAAGTATATATAGTATATATATAGTGTACATAATATATACAGTATGTATATATGTATATATATATATAGAGTATATATGTATAGTATATGTAGTAGATTAAGTAGATATAGTATTAGTATATACAGTTTATATAGTATCTATAGTATATATTATTTTATATAGTACATACAGTAGATATAGCATATATAGTAGATATAGTAGATATGGTAGATATAGTAGTTATAAGAGATATAGTAGATATAAGAGATATAGTAGGTATAGTAAATATAGTAGATATAGTATATATATATATGTATATATTATATACATATTGTATATATGGTATATATATATATATATTATATAGTAAATATAGTACATACAGTATATACAGCATACATATATATATATATATGTATATATATATAGTATATATAGTCTATATAGTATATATAGTATATATAGCATATATAGTAAGTATAGTGTATATATATATATATATATAGTGTATATATATATATATATATATACATATTCATACAGAGAGAGAGAGAGAGAGAGAGAGAGAGAGAGAGAGAGAGAGAGTGTGTGTGTGTGTGTGTATATATATATATACATACATATGGAGGGCCCATTATTTTGGATCTTGTTGTTGTTTTTTTTTGTTTGGTGTTTTTCCATGGTTTTCCTGGGGAAAACACTATTTTCCTCACGTTTTGGACGGATTTGGTGTGCTTTTCTTGGTTTTTCCACCTGAAACGAAAAGAACCCAGGAAGACAGAACGAAACACCCCAGAACAAGGACCAAAGCAAGGAAGAAGAACAGAAAGAAAGAAAAGAAGTAAGACAGACGGTTGGAAATTCAGGTTCGGAACCCAGATTCACAACACGGATTTTCTTGGGTTGTTGTTTCAGCGGGTTTACACGCGAAGCAACACAATCAATCATGAATGACTTGGAAGCTCTCTTGAGCCACGAAGTAATCAACAATAACGTGTTTGCCAGCCGGTCGTTTGCTACGAAATAAATAAAACCGTGTTCGTCAACACAAAAAAAATGAAGCCAGACAACAATGCTTCAGGGGGTTTTAACGCGAAGAAGACCAAATCAATCCTGAAGGATTTAAAAGGTTTGCAAATGGGGGGTGCCCCCCCCAACCCCCCCGCTTTTTTTGGACTAAACTCACCGCTCTCTAAAGCCACGGAAAATGCACAAAAACGTATCCGCCAACACACAAGCAGGGGAAGCCAGACAATAATGCTTCAGGGGGGTTTAACGCAAAGAAGACAAAATCAATCCTGAAGGATTTAAAAGGATTGCAAATGGGGGGTGCCCCCCCCCCAACCCCCCCGCTTTTTTTGGACTAAACTCCCCGCTCTCTAAAGCCACGGAAAATGCACAAAAACGTATCCGCCAACACACAAGCAGGGGAAGCCAGACAATAATGCTTCAGGGGGGTTTAACGCAAAGAAGACAAAATCAATCCTGAAGGATTTAAAAGGATTGCAAATGGGGGGGGCTGCGCCCCCCCCCAACCCCCCCGCTTTTTTCAGACTAAATTAACTCCCCGCTCTGTAAGCCCGCGAAGAAATGAACATACACGTATTCGGCAACACACAAGAAGGGGAAAGCCAGACAGCCACGCTCCAGGGGGTTTAACGCGAAGAGCAACAACAACACGACGACATCAACGACACCACCACCACCAACGACGACAGCAACGACATCAACGACACCACCACCGCCACCAAGGCAAATAGTTTTGGAAATGGCTTCATTTCCTATAATTTAATTTGTTTGTGATGCTCTTTTTTTTAAATCAGTTTTTTGTTGATCCCTGGATTTCATTTGTTGTTGATGATTAGTTTTTTTTGATGCTTCACCCAGGGATCCTGCGCTTCGAAGCGCTGGCGCTGTGGTGCGGCGCCAATTGTATACGTCCCCGATGAACCCTCCACAGGGATCCTGCCCCTCGAAGCGTTGGCTCTGTGGTGCGGTGCAAATTTTCTACGTCCCCGATGGACCCTCCACAGGGATCCTGCCCCTCGAAGCGTTGGCTCTGTGGTGCGGTGCAAATTTTCTACGTCCCCGATGAACCCTCCACAAGGATCCTGCGCCTCCAAGCGCTGGCGCTGTGGTGCGGCGCAAATTCTCTACGACCCCGATGAACCCTCTACAGGGATTCTGCGTGTCGAAGCGCTGGCGCTGTGGTGGGGCGCAAATTCTTTACATCGCCGATGAACCCTCTACAAGGATCCTGGGTGTCCAACCTGAACAAATCCTTGGCCGCACCTCCGAAAAAAGAGGGTTGGCCGCACCTTCGAAAAAAAAAAAACCCCCCGCCGCACAAAATTGCGTATTGACTAAATTATAAGTACAGGACATTGCAGGGCAGGCACAATTCCACGAATTATTCTTACATTGGACTCCACCCCTCCGGCATTCGTAGTTGATACCTTGGAGTTGGGCGGTGTGGGGGAGGGGGGGGGTGGCGGATTCTTCTCGAATCATTGGGCCCTTTGAGACTAGTTCGAATCATTCCCTAAACCTTCAACTCTACCCTGTATAACACCCGAAGTAGCCTGCTCTACTTCAAGGTTCATTGGACTTAGTAACTAGGGCTATAATCAAGTCAACTACACTTAAATGTACTTATAATCCCAATGAGGGTACTTATAACCTTACTTGAAGTAGAGTCCTGAGTAGGCCCTTTATTATAAGGGTACCCTTTTTCCTACGATTCGGTGTGAATAAGGAGCCACAATTGAAAGGGTCAAATTGGGTACTGTACGACCCCTGTGGGTGGTTGTCAAAATGATGGTCCCTTTTTGGGTACCCTAAATCTTAGGTACCGTATTATAGTAAGGACCCAAAAGGGACCCCAATTTTGACAACTACCCCTGTATTATCGACCACCTGTCTTACTCAAATCCGCAAAAAATTGGTACCTGTGACTTCGAAATTGCCGCGTATTGGATTTGGGCTTAGCCTAGACCGACATCATAAGTTTATATCTATACGCAATCTCACGTGTTCTGTTCCCCCCCGCTCTTTGTATATGCTTATATACATAAATGCATGTAACTATGCATATACATATTTACATACATCTGCACACCTGCCAATCCTTACACCCTAAACTTGGGAACTACCGGGCTTCTGAAATCGCCATGGCCGATTGCATCCGTCAGAAGGCCCAATGAAGCAAATCTTGAGCACCCCGCAGCCCGCAGAGGCCGGCCCCGACAAGGCCAAGCACGTTGTAACTGGGTTTTGGAGTAATTACCATACTTTAATCCTTTCGGGGGGACCTGTTACTTAAAGCGAACCATTAAGAACTAAAAGTTTGTACTTTTTTTCTCCCTCGCTAGGGTTTAGGGCTTAGGGTTTAGGGTTTAGCTGCAAAGCCCAGGTACGCGTCCATTGCCTGGCAGGTTCCAACCTTGAGGTCGAGGTCCACTCTGCTGAAACGGGGTTGGAACTACTTGGACCCTAAGGAACCTACCTTTTGGGGGGTTCCTTCATATCCCTAAATGGGGGTTCCTATAAAGTACCCTTAGTAGTATAGGGCCCCAAATTAGGGGGTTCCTATAAAGTACCCTTAGCAGTATAGGGCCCCAAATTATGGTTTCCTTGTATAAGTCCTTAAAAAGGTAGGTTATTTGGGATTAAGGTAGCGGAACGCATCGCAGCCGGAGTTGGGCACCCGGCATGTTTACTTGTGCTGACATCCGGCGGTTGTGTCATCGACCAGCGCCAGCTGCTACTACCTCAAGTCCAGCACGACGAGATTTGGTACGTGGTGCGCAGGCTTGGCGCGGGTCGTGTCGCGATGCTTTGGGAGCGCCTGCTCGAAGAGAAGACTCCGTCTGATGTAGCTGCCCTGAACGAAACGATGTCGCTCACGTGGTATTACACCAAGACCTCAACCGGTGCATCCAACTACCCCGCAGCCTGCAGAGTTTGACGTTTGGTAGCAATTTCAACCAGAGCCTGAAGGGTATCCACCTACCCAGCAGCCTGCAGAGTTTGACGTTTGGTGACAATTGCGACCAAAGCTTGGAGGGCATCCAAGTACCCAGCAGCTTGCAGAGTTTGACCTTTGGTCGCCGGTTCAACCAGAGCCTGGAGGGCATCCAATTACCCAGCAGCCTGCAGAGTTTGACGTTTGGTGACTGGTTCAACCAGAGCTTGGAGGGCATGCAACTACCCTGCAGCCTGCAGAGCTTGACGTTCGGATATTTTTCAACAGAGCCTGGAGGGCATCCAACTACCCAGCAGCCTGCAGAGTTTGACATTTGGATATTTATTCAACCAGAGCCTGGAGGGCATCCGACTACCCAGCAGCCTGCAGAGTTTGATGTTTGGTCACAACTTTAACCAAAGCCTGGAGGGCATCCAACTACCATGCAGCCTGCAAAGTTTGACGTTTGGATATGAGTTCAACCAGAGCCTGGAGGGCATCGAACTACCTGGCGGCCTGCGAAGTTTGATGTTTGGATACAAGTTCGACCAGAGCCTGGAGGGCATCCACCTACCCAGCAGCCTGCAGAGTTTGACATTTGGTGACGGGTTCAACCAGAGCTTGGAGGGCATGCAACTACCCAGCAGCTCGCAGAGATTGACGTTTGGAGTTATGTTCAACCAGAACCTGGAGGGCATCCAGCTACCCAGCTCTTTGAGGAGTTTGACGTTAGGTGACAGGTTCAACCAGAGCTTGGAGGGCACCCATCTACCCAGCAGTCTGCGAAGTTTCACTTCAAGGAATTTTCGTGTAGCCACGTTGTGCGCAGTGATGCGCTGGTGTGGCTTCCTCTCTTGAAGGGTGACTGTTCGCAGCTTCTTCTGGACATGGTTTGGTTTTCTGCAGAAAGTCCTGCCGTGCAAGTGACTCCAGCCCGAAATTGCAGAGCCAGACTCCGCGGCTTTGGTTGAGGGTTTAAAGGTTTAGGGTCTACGGGTTTAGGTTTTGGGGTTTAACGGTTTAGGCTTTAGGATTTAAGGGAGGTTCCTTTCACACCATTTTATATGGGAGCTTCCGACAAGAGGGGACGCTAATATAGTAATTATCCTAAATAGTAGGATCCTTATTATAACGACCCCCCTCCCATATGCCAGGCCGTATCGACTACTTTCGAACTGACCGAATGCTGGCAGTCTCTTGGCTTTGCTATTGGCCAAAATCGCGAAACGCGGTTTCGGGTTGAGGAGTTCAGTGTTAATACTGCTTGGCCATGCAAGTGTAGCTTTTTGACTCTTATGCCGATAGGTGTGTTCATCCAGCTCTGGTTCGCACAGAAATTGCATGTAGCGCTGCGACGACGCGCGCACCGATGCTACGATAACGCCACCAAATGCGCAATGGAGGTAGGAAGACGCTTTGCAGTGGCATCCTGACGTTGCAGTCGTGCACAACGTGGGTTTGGCTTTCATGGCTCCTTGCATCTTTCCTCTTAGCGCAGAAGCTATTGGAAGCCATTCTTCATGCCTCGCATAGTTTTTGGTATGTAGGGTAATGCAGAGTTTCTGGATGCACGTTGGGCTGCAGCAGGGCTGAAGAGAAGCGGCTCCGACGTGAGTATTCAATGAGGTGGTTCAATCCCAAAGGCTCCATGTACCTTTATAGTAGACACTTAAGCCTTAAAGGGTTCCCTATACAGGAACTTTATGGGCACATGGAGCCTTACCCAGACCCCCGGGAGGATCTAGAAAGTAGATCCCCTAATTTGGGGCCTTATACTACTAAGGGTACATTATAGGAACCCCCATTAAGGGATCTACTTTTGGGATCCTCCCGGGTCTGTGTAGGGAATGTGGTGTGATATTCTTCTGTCTGAGAGTTGAGCGGCCCAGTTTTGAGCCGAGCTTCTCAGGGTTCAAGGCCAAGTGTTCTGGGTTCATAGGACCAACTTATTGGAGGTAAACTCAACTTTTCAACTTTTTGGGGTTCTTATAAGTTTTTTGGTCGATTCTGAAAGTTTCAACCTTTATTTCCTTGGGTTTTGGGCCAATGGGCCGAACTCTCAGAGGGCTTAGCTGTTGAGGACACGTTTCGAGATGCTGAAGACTACATATAGGCCACCTGAGATGCACCATGAGTCGCACGAGGCTTGCTAAACACTGAAGCCCTAGGCCGTGACCCTAAAGCCCAAAGGCCCACTCTGAACTCTAAAGCCGTCATGCCCAAGGACAAAGACCACGAAAGCATCGATGAAGAAACTGAAGGCCGTCTGACAGTCTGCATTATAGGGTACCCTAAACCCTAAACCCTAAGGCTTTCAGCGGTGTTTTGGATTATTGTGGACGCATGGAGTTTCGTCAGGTTTCTCACGATTCGGGAGAGTTCGCAGCTTTTCATGCTGTTCATACAGTTCCCTGAGGGTCCATGCACCCTCAGGGATTAGGATTTAGGGGTTTTGGGGTGTAGGGGTCTAGGGTTAAGGGATATAAGGGTCCATGTACTCGAATAGTATGTACTTTGGCCCCAAAGTGCCTATATAGGGACTACTTTAGTGCCAAAGTATATACTATGTGGGTACATGCACCCTTAGGGGTTTGTTGAGTTTGGATGAGACACCTTATAAACCCTATATCTTAAGGTACTCAACCATACACCCCGACGCCCCAAACCTGAATCCAAAAACTGTGCACAGCACCATGAAAACAACACGAAGCGCTGTAAAGCCCTAGAAGCGTATAACCCAAAGGGCCATGTACCCAAATAATATACATAACCCAAAGTACCTATATAGGGACCACTTTAAGGCCTAAGTATATACTATTTGGGTACCATGCTGCACCCATATACCCGACACCTATAGAACCTTCTAAAGGAACGCGTACAGGAACCCCTATATTTGGGTACGTGGACCTTTCGGGTTAATCCCTGTACCCTACTTGGAGGGGCAGGGGACTTAGTAAGTCGTTTATAAGTAGCTATTTTATAGACTTATAAGTATCATAACCCCAATTAGGCTCCCTTTTAGGGCACTTATAGCTCCAGTTACTCCTACTTACTAAGTCCCCCGACCCTCCAAGTAAGCCCTAACGCGAGTCCGCGACTTCCTCTTTATTTCATAGGGACCCTTACCCTAAGGCTCCATGTACCCATCTAGTATATACTTAGGCCTTACAGTACCTACATAGGGACCCCTTACCTGTGTCCCTAAACCTTACAAAATAGTAGGTTATGACCCCTTAATTAGAGGGTAGAACCCTTAAAATTGTAGGTTTTCGGATCCCAAGGTAAGCCTTAAGTATCTACTAAAATGGTACATGGAGCCTTCGGGTTAGGGGGATAGGGGGGTAGGGGACCATACTTCCTTAAAGAGGCCTTGTTGGGTCCTTGTTATGGGCATTACTTGGAGGGTCGGGGGACTTAGTAAGTAGGTAGTAGGTAGACTTATAAGTACACTAGAAGGGACCCTAATTGGTGTTATGGTACTTATAAGTCCCTAAAACAACCAGTTACTAAGTCCCCCGACCCTTCAAGTAAGGGGTCGCTATGATTACAAAGAGCCGAGGATCCTCCGCAGTCTACCTGTAGGCTCATACCCAGTAGTACCCTTATTCCCTTTTTGTAGTCCTAGGTTCCTTATAAAGTTACCCAATACCAAGAAGAGAGGCCTTTTTATTCTTAGGTTACTGGGTATCCTAGACCTGTAGGCTCATACCCTACCCCATTCTTAGGGTACCTAGTTCTTTAGCTAGGATTTTTTATTATTATAAGTAGGTAACCAAAAGAAGGGGTAGGGTATGAGCCTCTAGGCAAACCGGAAAAATCGTTGAAGGGCTTTGGGTTTGGGGGGTTACTGCATAGGGCTTCACGGCGTGAGGTTGAGGTTCTTGGACTGTAGGGATTTAGGGTCCGCTAAGCCCGACGTTCCTTTTAATGAACTTCGTCAAATCTTATTGAAACCCTCAGTCGGGGCTTGGAGTTCAGGGAAAACACGGTAATAAAATGCAAACCCTGAATAAACCTGAATTCAACCCCAAACCCTAATCCCTATACCCTAAACCCCTAAAGCCCTAACCCCTAAACCCCAAACCCTAATGCCTAAACCCTAGACCCCAAACCCTAGTCCTTTAGCCCTGAAGTCTCAGAAGAAGGCCCCCGGAAACCCCTCCGAAGGATGCCGTGGCTTCGGCACTATTGGACGGCAATGGGACCGAGTCGGACGAAGGCAAAGCTGCGGAAGGATTTCGGGATTTTAAGGTGCGGTTTAGGGATATTACGAAACGGTTTAGGGTTTGAGGACTTTGAGGGATTTTGCAGATTTTCTGTCCGGGCTTCGAGTTCAAGCAATGTAGGGTTCCTCGCCCTTGGCGACGCTTCCCGGATGACGTGCGTTGGGTTCTTTGCCGGTTTGGGTTGAGTGTTCAGGATTTAGCCATGACCTACCGCCAGACCGAAAAGTGTGCACCTTACTCATGAAACCGCAAGCAACTTTCTCAGCTAAGCCTGCGTCTTTGAAACCTACCCCCCCCGAGAGCCCGAAAGCTCAAAGCCCTGCGCCGGTTAAGGATTCGGGCCTCTCTTAGCAGTTGTACTTGCTTGTTGGGTCGGGGGACTTAGTAAGTAGGTAATAAGTAGACTTATAAGTACCCTAACAGGCAGCCTAATTGGGGTCATGATACTTGTAAGTCTATAGAAAGACTACTTACTAAGTCCCCCGACCCTCCAAGTGGAGCTTCATGCCTGCAACTGCACTTGCCTTAGGGGTACTTAGAAATAATTCTTAATTTCTGGTTATCATGATCCCTAAAAACAGCTAAAATTATAGTTTTTGCTAGGGTTCTAAGTTCAGTATATTTGCTAAGCCCCATGAACCTCCAAGTAACATGGTCTGTGGGCCCAATCATGTTTCCTCTCCAATCTGATCGCCGACAGCCTTCTGTGCATCTCCCAACAACATCAGTTTAGGGAGTTCCCTCTTAGTAACCTAAACCCGCCTAAACCCCTAAACC